TAACTGGACAGCAGTTTTTCGCCATATATAATAAGATGAAAAAACGACAAAAAACACTTAGCAATTTCAATCATATTTTAATTGCTCGGCAGTGGTTTAATTGGTATGAGAGATGTGGAATCTGCTATATTTACTAACATTACAATATAAATTAGAAATTTACGGCAAAATATCATATTTTACTAGTTATGTAATTGGTCAGCAGTTTTCACTATAAGTGTAACTGGTGAATAATGTATATGTAAAACTGGGTAGCAGATCCTACTATACATGTGTACGTTTAACTGGTCATTAGTTTCTCGCATAACAAATTTGCTGACCATATAGTATAAGAAGAAAATTTGGCATAAACCACAAGCTAGTATTTCACGGCAAAATACATCAGCAGTTTCTCAGTGTTGAGCTAAAATCACTTTGGCTATATATTAAACAAATGAACACAGAGTCTAGTATATCTCTGCTGGCAAGCAATGCTTTTTTAAAAATTTAATCATATATATTTACCATCTTCAAGAGATATAAAAGCGTTAGCTATAGGTTCCCCAATCACCGAAAATGTCCCCATCTTAGATATTGATAAAACCCTGAAGCATGTGAAGGTGTATAGTGCAAGGAGCGTCAATTTGGTAGGTTGTTGGTAGTTGGAAAATCGAATAACCAACTAACTACTACATGTAGTTGGTATTTGGTTATTTGTAATCCGACCAACTACATACCAGCAGGAAGTCGGTAATTCAAACTTTGCATGTTCCCACCAAAAACAGAAAGTATTTTTCCAGAATAGATATAATGGATAAATAGCAAAACAGTTGTGTTCTACAACACGGAAACACATTCTCTCACTATGTCCACTAGCGGAATCAGTTAGCTTTAGTAGAATATACTGACCACTTAAATCTGCTGACCTGTTAAACTTGTAGTGAAATTGCTGACCACTTACACTGTATGTTAGTTATATTCATGCTATCTTCATTTTTGCATTTTACACAGACTGTTCAAATCTACATTATCATCTTATCATTTTCCATTACAAAATTTTATTTTTGTACATATTTTGGTAAAATAATCTATGTATGATTTGTTTGTCTTTTTATATATTAAACAAAAAACAATTACTTTAACATTTTTTGAATCTTTTAAATGTCAACATAACACCATTTTTATTTAAAATCTTTCTGCTTTATCAAAGTTTCACACAATCTACAACATTTGCCGTGTATTTCAGTGATATAAAATGTTATTTATTATCAAATTATAATTTTATTTAGACGTTTTCAGTATACAGAAAAAAAAAACATACAAAAAAACCCCGACAACAACAAAAAATACCCCCCCCCAAAAAAAAAAAAATGAAAAAAAAATCTATTGACAAAAGTAAAATCATTTTCCTATATTCTATATCGTCAGCTAATTCGTTAGCAGTTTAGAACTGCCCAATCAGAATTTGAGCATGTGTACCGGAAGGCGATAGTCGACAATGTGATTACGCGATGGTGACAATAAGAGAGTGCGATAACGATAGCGGGATAAAGCCATTACGACAGTGGGAATATGCGATAAAGACAATGCGATAATGCGACAGTGCGATAACGCGATGACAAAAGTGCGATAAAGCGATGGCGAAAGAACGGTACCGCGATGGCGACAACGCGATAGTATTATCGCACTATCGTATTGTCGCCATCGAATTATCGCACTATCACCATCGCGTTATCGAACTGTCGCCGTCGCACTATCGCATTGTCGACATTATCGTACTGTCGTAATCACGTAAACGTATTATCGCCATCGCTGTACGCATTGTCGTCATCGCACTGTCGCATTGTCGCACTCTAGTATAACCACGTAGGCCCTAACGGTATTCCGTTGTTTTATAGGCATGTAAGTGAACGCAAATCTGCTTTGACCTTTTGACCTATTTTGAGAAAATTGGTGAACTTTGTCATAGAAACCGACAAACAAAAATATAACGAATTCAAGTGCATCATCACATAAAAATTTATTTACTGCTACGTCACTTTGAGTGCAATGTGACACAATAGAGAAACACGGAATCTTAAAAAAAAAGTCAAAAAAACGACAAAATCTACAATGTTGCAGACCCGGTTTGATCGAGCCTGTTCATGGACGGTACTGATAGTGAAAGTTACCGTCTGCGCCCCATAGCACCGGCTCCGGCTTCGTCCTAGTTCATTATAGTTTGGTATGGTAAGTTTGTTTCGATATGATGTTGCAAGTTCTCTTCGATTTGGTGATGGATTTTTTTGCATTGCTACTATGTCATTTTGCACAAATTGGATACAGACTGTCTGGGTGGTGTAGATGTAACAGGGATCAGGTCTAAGGGACAATACTCTTGCTTTACTGTTGGATTTTATTATTTTGCAAGGGGAGACAAATCCGCCGGTATTGTCTGATACTTTTCAAGGGAAATTACTCTTTTGGTTTTGACTGATTACATTGGTCAGTATTCTAAGAATTCAAATGATTGGTTCACGGATCGTTGATTTTAAGATATTTTTATGGGTGGGGAAAAAGTCATTGTGTCTTTGTTATGTTGTAAAGGAGAGAGGTTAGAAAATTGGTGTTTGTGGTCAAGTTCTTTATTTCATAAGTAGGTATGTATTTATCCTGACTACTGCTAATTTGCTTTATTGTAAATATGGAGACTTGCATTATTGTGATTCTGTTCTATTTTGGTTCAGTCCATTTATTGTGAAATTTGTAAATAAGTATGAGTTCCAGAATGACATTATCTATCAAGTCACCTTTCATCTTTATTCACTATTTATATTTAACCTTGCAGTTAACAGTCACTGGTGTGATAGTCAGAGAGGTAATAATTAGATTGATGCACTACACTCATCCCTCATATGGTAAGTTACATGTGTGATGTATTGTGTATTGTTTAAAGAGTAATATATATTATGTTAATTGTGTGTATAATTCCATAAGCTATGATATAATAGTTAAGGACTGTTGCTGAGTTTAAAGAACTGAATTGGCCCCTAGACATGTAATTGATTATGTTCTAGATTAGAACATAAGATATGATGATAATTAATGTAATGCATTGTTTCTATTTTATTTTACTTTATATTTACATATTGTTATATACATATTTCAGAGTGTTGGTTTGTACCTTTACTTGATGTAACCACCATACAGTAATTGAAGATTGGATTGGAATATAAACATTATATAACTTTAAAGTTGTTTGTTGAATTGATTTTAACAATCCCGAACTCATTTGTCCCTCAGGGGCTCGGATAGCTACATATTAAATTGCACCGAACCACCCCTATTACATAGATGCTTTAAAATCTTAAGATATAATTCACTATAGAACAAAGACTCAGCCTTAAAAATTAACAAAAATACTACAAAAAGACTTCACAAATTTCGAAGTGTCAAAATAAAAAACAACAAAGTTCAATATTTATAAAAATAAAGACCGCGATACTGAAATAAAACGTGGAATGGTCTAAGTATGTGTTACCGATTCATTTCCGACGGTTTTCATGTTTGTTCTATCCTGCTAGGCTGCTCACTTCACAAATTTCGAAGCGTCAGAATGAAAAAATTATGTTAAGATAAAGTTCAACATCTTACAAAGTAAATATCACGATATTGAAAAAAGGCGAGGAATGATCTAAAGAAGTGCTACTTATGTTTTTCCTACTGTTTTCATGTTGGTACTATTCTTAGTTTTCTTTAGTGAACGCTGCCAGTCTGCTAGGCTGACAGGCTGCTAGGCTGTCAGGCTGCCAGGCTGCTAGGCTGCTTACTTCACAAATTTCGAAGTGTCAAAATAAATATAAAAAAAACAACAAAGTTCAATATTTAAAAAATAAGATCGCGATACTGTAATAAGACGTGGAATGGTCTTAGTATGTGCTACCGATTCATTTCCGACGGTTTTCATGTTTGTACTATCCTGCTAGGCTGCTCACTTCACAAATTTCGAAGCATCAGAATGAAAAAAAAATATATTAAGATAAAGTCAACATCTTAAAAAAAAGATCACGATATTGAAAAAGGCGTGGAATGATCTAAAGACGTGCTACTCATGTATTTCCGACTGTTGTCATGTTTGTACTATTCTTAGTTTTCTTTAAGCTGCTAAGCTGCCAGGCTGCTAGGCTGCCAACTAGGCTGCTAGGCTGCCAACTTCACGAACATCGTCAATATGAAGTCAATCATAAAAGCAATGGTAAACGTTCTATGTCCATAACTTTTCTGACTAATTGGACATTGTAATTTCTATTAAACATTTTTCATTGAAACTTGATAAATTTCGGTAAAATATATCTTGTACTAACGAGATAATAAAAATGTGATGAAAATTATCTCGTGATTATTTCTATATCTGTAGATAGTTCGAAAAGCCACGGTAATGTCCTGTCCATAAGAAATTTTGGAAATCGGTCGTTCTTTCGTTGGGCCGTCTTCCCGAAAACGACCTTTACTGTTATCAAGAAATATACGTGCATCGCTTGAAACAAACAAATCATATGCATATGTTTTATGAACACTAATTCTCTGCTAAGTTATTTCAGTATACAGTTTTGTATTTTATTATTGAATTCCTACTTTTTGCATTTGCCAAGAGTGTTACGTTTTTTTATCAATTTCATTTAACCTAACGTTACTTATAAAGTTTGTCAAAAATTCCTACGTATGAACGAACCTTGATCAAACTCATTTTTTTGCAAGTGCTTTTGCACCGATCAAGTAAAAGTCCATCTTGAACATACAAAAGCAAACATTACATTATTTATATATTTATTATTGTTGTTGAGAAACCGAAAGTACAAAATGCAAACATGTAGGAAGTCCGTTATTATGTCAGGCTATTCACTGAATACGAAAATAATAATGTATTTTCGCAAGAAATATTAAAGGTATATATAATAAAATAAATCATATTCAGTCTCCAAAGGGTTTATGTTGCATTTCAAACAAATCTATATTACAATCATGCACTGTTATGCCTGGTATCTGTTGCCGTATAATCTGAACATTTCTTTGAAATTGTAATATTTTATCTTGCCTAATTACAAAAAGAAAACCAATTTATTTCAGGTAAAACTATGACATTTAAATCTACAATCATGTTTAAAGAACTATTTGTGCCGATTTTATGTTTGTTGGTGTGTGATTGCAAATGTGAAATAACTCGAACTAAGGTTGTTGAGATGGCTAGATTGTTGTGTACCGGACAAGACATCTGCAGCGCGAACATGTCCCAGACTGATACATTTCAAGATACAAGCAGTTGTTGTTCTGGTACGTTGTTAGTATTATTTCACGATATGTAACGTCAGCGCGTTACAGATCGTAATATATATTATAACATAAAATCGGCTATTTTTCCCTCTTTTGCCCATGTTATAACGGGGCCAAAACCATGCGTTAACATAGTCACGCGCTCTTGTTATAGCCCGGTTTTACCTATGCGCAATACATGCAGGGCCCAGAAAACAAACAAAAAATGACGATTTGGCCTGTTTGCCAGAGTCATGCGCTCTTGTTATATTGGAATTATTAATTCGAGGACCTTAGTCGCATATTCAAGTAATTATGCCGGCAATACGGCGTACAGTATAGACATCGCCGCTTATCTTGGTTGTCGCCCTTTCTTAGAAACGGACAGTTGTCAATGTAAACAAATAGAATCTGTCATTCAGTTTAATCCCCCGATTAACTTACAAAAATGGAAAGCACAAAATGAATATAAGAAAACTTTGTTTTATTGACGTTTATATTGGTAAATGTTCATTGTGTTTCTTTGAGAGAATAATGTTTTATGCCTGTTTTTTTTTTAAACTTGCGTGCTTAAAAAACCGATTCTGAAATTGAATCTGATGTCACTGATCTTTTTCCTACCGCCAATCTGTAACCATTCTAGGAATTTCTGAGGCGCCTGTTTTGTCTTTGGTAGAGTAATGTCATGTTTTTCTTAAGTTAATATATCTCCAAAGTTAAACTTTGTTAAATCAATTAAAATTCGAAATTTCGTTCGGTTCTCAAGTTGTTGGCCCCGGAAAAAATAAAACGCATTCGTAAAACATGTAGAGTTGGATAAATACCGTTCAAGCACAAGGATTTAATGTTTGAGTTTTATATATAATATACATCATGAATCTGTTTTAAAATGTTATGCTATAATAGCGTCAACGCACGTTTATTTCGTGTTATAAAGTCTGCAGAGTCCCTCGGAACGGTTGGAGCCCTCGCCCTACCGGGCTCGGGCACCAACCGTTCCTCGGGACTCTGCAGACGTTATAACACGGCAAAACGTGCGTTTACCCTATAATACCATCCATAAAAGCGCTGCTCTGATTGGATCTTTAATAGCGTTGACGTCATAAGTCCACCAAGAGAATCACAAAGAAACTTGAAGGCCTGCTTTTTAAATAGCGACGCCGTCTATGTTTGAGTTTGAATATGTTCATGCATGTAAAAGATTTTAGGTCTATATTGTTATGCACCTGGTTGGTTGTTCGTATGTCTGTAAGAAATTTCGTATCCACTCTGTTTCTTTTGAACTGATGGATGAAAATTACAGCACCTTGGCATAAATTTTAACCAATATAAGTCGCTGTGTAGAGCGCAGGTTTGAACTTTTTAAAGTTAAGGTTGCATTATGTATGAATTTCAAAAAATCGTGTCTGCTCAAATGGATGGAAATTGAAACTACTTGGCTGAAATGGTAACCATTATGATTGAAAAATATATCAGTATCTTGCAAATTTTCTTTTTCTTATTTACCTAAACTTGAATTTAATCATGACTAGATTTTACCACAAAGATCGTTAAGCGACTCTATTTATGTACAATTTTTGCAAAATTCACTGAATCATCAGATGCCAAAAATTGATTTGGCCGTGGGTATTCGACCACATGAATTAATTGAAGAAGAATATATGTTTTTGTTACAGAATGTTCTTGTAAACCAAGTTGTAAAGAACATGGAAACTGTTGTTTCCCAGATCAAGCGTATCGTTTAGGAGACGGCGATGTTGAAGATGAACACAGAAGTTATGTATTTAAAAATGACACTACTCTTGCACATGAATGTCTTTATCCATCATCCCAGCAACCAACTGATCCAGCCGGAAGAATTCAGCGTCAGTCCTTTTGGATGGCTTCCGAAATAATAGATACTCGCTATTTACCAAGAAATGAGACATGTGGAAATTTCGAGGTAGCCCCATGGGGAAGTCTTCTTCCGGTATCATCAAAAAGGACTGGTCTCATTTACAAAAACATTTATTGCGCTAGAGGACACAATGAAACAGAAGAGGACATTGTTATCTGGGAGGGGGAATACCATTGCAAAACTAAAAGCAGAGGTTACATTGATTTAGATAGAGCCTATCTCGAAACGTGTCAGAAGCAGTTTTTTCCACCAGAAGACATTGCTATTCAAAGAAAAAGTTTGTGTTATAACAGTTTAATTGACACGTGTTCGTTTCCGGCCTTTCTTCTCCCCAAGACAGTACACATGAGTGCGTCTGAAATAGTTGATGCTTGTACTAGCGGTTTTGTATCTCCATACAGACGATTTGATATGTTTGCAAATATATTTTGTCATATTTGCAATGGAAACAACCGTATTCTTCATGATTGTCCAAATCTGGTGCATGAAAGGTCTCCGGGAGGATATATATCAGCACTTATCAATTTAAACTCTTTACAGAGCTTATCACGAATCAAAGGTGTAAGAAGAGAACCATCCAATGTAAAGTTGGCATGTTTGATTCAAGATACAGATTTTGGAACTGTAGGTTTAGTATACTAACGTATATATTCATTCACATGATTTTATTTGGTTGGGTTTTAAGTGACACTGACAATGTAAATGGTCATATGACGAATTTCCAGCTCTACTGGTGGAGAGAGACCTGAAGTGGCTCACCTTGCATAATTTCGGGCACGAGCGGGTTTCTGTGTAGAAACACAGACGTTAAAGAATTTATAGCCCGCTGCAAAGTATTGAGTGTTTTAATGTCATCAACATTAACAACACGACCACGGGCGCTTCTTTTTTATATGTACGTATCATAGTCATCAGAGCTCAATTTATTACAAAGTAAAAAATGATTATTGACATGATCGTTCTTACAAGATATACTATGCTTATCAGAGAAATTTATTGAAATTATTGAAATGTCTAATTTAAATAAAAGAATGGATGTACTATGTACGGGAAGCTGCGGTTACTATTACAGGTAGAGTCAGGTTTCTTAAGGTTTCTTCTGCCAGTTTTTTTGGTCCTTTATATTTGACACTGTATATTCATTTTGTGACCACATATAGTTTGTAGAAAGATGGTAGAATTTTAAACATAACACATCTACTTTGTGTGAAGTCTGAACACGCTTTTTATATTATTATATTAAATTATAAATATTTTCTATTATCAAATTTGAGCATAGTATATCTTTAATTGTTTTATGTGAAGATAAATGCATAATTCGTATATTCTAGTAATCATTCAATTATATGCTTTTATATACACCTTTGCTTTTATCTAGTAAACTTTTAATTTAAGATACTGTACATAAAAACATTACTTATTATGTTGCAGGTTGGTGACAAGTGCAAACCTATCAGTTGTCCGTACGGACAAATCCGTGACAAGGAGGGAAAATGTATCTATACAACACTGGAATGGTCTAATATTGTATTCAAAATACGTGTTCACCTTAAAAGTTCGAAGCCTTTCAATGTACTTCAGTTTCTTTCAGATTTTGAAAGTTTAAATCGTCCTTTTGATATTTCGAGCTTAACGTCTTCGTTTCTAAAGACATTTATGATCGAACGTGTATATTACAAACAACTGAAGTCAGTCCATGATACGGATGAACTTGTCATTTTCACGAGCAAACGTACGTCTGCTACTAATACAAAAATGGTCATGAATACAATCAAGAAATGCATGAATGAAAAATGGCTGCTTAAATCGCACAAAACAACACTGTCGTTGAGTCCAAAAATACCGAATGAACTAATTGGTGATAGGGAATTATTCACAACCAGTAAAAATACAAGTTATAAAAGAATCTATATGAAACCAAGTATCGGTGGTGGTGGAGTTGTTCTTCTGAGAAAATTATACTTTTGTGTGAATGTTCAATTGAACAGTAATGAATTCAATGTATCCAATGAAGGTAATATTGTATTCAACAAGATTTCAAATCGCTACTTGTACAATAATGAGTACATCCTAGATACGTCGGGACCAAATCCGGTTTGTCATGTATGCCTTGAAGGTTCCGGCTACAATCTCATTGAAAACAATCATGCTATTAAAACTACTCTATCACTTGGAGTGTTCATCTGGACCATCTTTCTTATCACTTTGATGTAAACGGATGGGGCGTACGGGACCGTTAAGGTGGTTGACATACAACCACTTAATTGCTACTCACCGTTGTGACTTCGAGTTAAGCTATTGACTTCGGATTCTTTCATATTATGAAGCTATCTAGCTATCCTAAGGAACGTCGGTGCACGCCCGTGACTGAAATAAGGAATGAATGGGCACCTGAGGTTTCCTTCCACCAGTGATTAAGCTAAACAGTCGCCATGCGACTTAGTGTTGCTCAACAAACAAAACAAACAAATAAACAAACACGAAGACAAATGCTTATAGAGTTGCTTAAAACACAATTTTCCATTTATTATTTCAAAATCAACAAAACATTTGCTTCTTGTTTTACTTTTTTTAAAACTTAGATGTTTTATCATCGTTTTTTTTCATTGAATTTCTAATGACTTAACTGAAGTGTTGTTTCGAAGATGGTATCCACCATGATTTGTTTTCATATTCTTAAGCTAACAGTCTAACAGAGACCCAGTAAACGTCCGGGGTGATCCGGGGAGACCGGGTACGACCGGGAACACCCAGAGTACATCCGTAACTCTGCAGACAATGTCCGGGATGATCCGGGAACATCCGGCATTCGACCTTGGATAGAATAAAATATTTAATAATATCACCGGGGTCAATGGCCATACCACGTGACCCGATTCAGGTAGGTTTTTTTTATTTATAACTTATTTATTACCTAACCGATTTTGATCAGATAAGGCGCAGAGTACCCGTATTTATATCAGCTTCCAACGGTATATCAAAATTCTGAAAACCCCTGAATGGTTTTTGAGAACATTCGAGTACAGTTTTCCTCTCATAGCCGGGGCCGAGGGGAACGGTACACACTCATTTGTCATAAGAAGCGATTTCTAGCAAGTCACATGTTTTTATGTCACTATGTCATAGGAAAATACATGTTAAATCTTATATATTTACTATGTTCAATGTATCGAGTGAATGCAGTGATATTTTAGCATATTTTTTATAAAGTTATGTTGAAATGGTACGGAGCACACTGTTTTTCAAAAGATACGACACACACACACACACTTTTTGTCTTTGAAATAATTCTAAAATAAAATATATGAAAATTTGATTTAAATTATAATGTGATTGTTTTTTTCCATAGTTATATATTTTTTAATTTAAACGAGAACCCTGGGACTTGTTTTGCAATGTATCATTATGCTTACAGTTTGGTGTTAACGGGGTTATTAAAAAAAGGAACACTTTGAGAGTACGACGCGCAAAATTCGATTTTAAATGTTGCGCAATTACTATTTGGCTATAAGATGTTAATATTTTAGAGAGGGATACAGAAGACATTCAAAATTTATGCTCTGTTTTGTTTCTAATTTGAAATAATTATCTATATTTTTTTTCGGATTATAAAACGAATTGTGAAATACATGGACATCTGTTATGTGTGATTATTCTTTAATTTAATTTATTTGTTCCAGTATATAAATGACTGTCTGAACTTAGTATGAATATAAAAAAACAAGCAAGAAGTTAAGAGTAAGTTAGAAATATATGTGCCTTGCAAAATGTTGTTTAAATAATCGAATTTTGAGAAAAAACACTGGTTTTGATGCAAGTGGATATTTCTAAATCACAGAAAAATTTAAGTATTTTTCTGCCACATGATATTTGGTATGAATCATCTGCAAGGGTCCCAAACTAACTGCATGTATGTAAATTATCAAATTATCTACATATGGACAAAGATATTCCGCAGTTTTACGTGCAATCAAAATTAAAAGCCGGATAATTTGAAGAATCCATACGGGAACAAGGCCTGTTATAAAACGTAATGTAGATTATACAAGGTAACCTTGTTACATATACATGTACGAAATTTTGGTAAAATTATGCCTATCTTGGACTTTTTTAGTTTCTTTTTAATAGTAGTTATCAATAACTCACGAAACTTATTGTCAATGATCAAATTTCATTTAAAGATGCTTTAAAAACATGAGTTCATGGATATGTGTGCTTGCGTGTTTGTGTTAAAAATAAAATGATATTTTAATAATACCCATTTTGTCAATCAAAGGCTATGGATTTTGAAGGCTGCGTTCTGTTTTATATACTACATGAAGTAGGTACAAGACCACAAGTGACTTCGATGTTTCGATTTTTCACGTGTACCGTACAGAATGTCGGTCGTTCCTCTCAGGTGCCCGTTCGTACCTGTATATATACCTAAAGGGGCACTTGTAAAACTGGAAAGTCGCAACATGATTATGTCAGTTTTGGTGAGACGTGAAACCAAACCAAAAATGACCTATATTACCTTAATTAAAAGTTATTTTTAAAGCTTTATGTCTTTAAACATTATAAATTTAAGCCATGTCAACTACATTTTTATTTGTTTGGGTCGTCAGACCAAACAAATAATGGTAGCGAAATTTCAGACTCCGATATGCTTATTTGCAAAATCAGAAAGTAGAACGAACTCAACGAAGCGGTTACTTCCCTTAATAAGTACTCTTACGCCAAACAAAAATTAAGGGGGGATCACGGCGTAAAGATTGTCAAATGACATGCGCATTAATTTTCAAGCCTTCTCGGGGGAAGAAATTCTGTACAGATATACATGTAACATTAAGCTCCATGATTATTTATTTACATCTGTGTTCAACGAAAATAATAAGGGTTACAAACCCTAACTTGGAACAATATGGTTTTCTTCAGGCTATTATCTTATAACTTCCACACGCTCGTTTAGGAAGAGAGATGCCATGAGTTCAAATCCCAGTTAAGGCAACTAATGTTTATTTTTTTTATTGTTTAGGCCAAATAAACATTGAATTGAATATCAGTGTTGCAATTAGCCTTATAGCTAAGCCAATTTACTACAGTTATAACACTGGAAATAGCATTGGTGGCACTATACAAAAACAAATTGGTTTATAATCTCACAACCTTCACCTTTCTGACATTCTGAGACCCAAACAAATTCAGCGCATTCTGTGCTTTGATTTAATTAAAAATAACCAAGATATTGCAAAATTCTACCTCGGAACTTACTTATTATTAACAAAATATAAATATATATAATGGTATCAAGTAATGATACTTTTCAGCGATTTAGGTCATGACCTTGTTTTATTTTTCCAGGTTGAAGCAAAAAGACATATCTTACACTTCACGAGGCTAAAACTAAAAGAAATATCAAAAAAGACAACAACAACAATAAACAACAATAAACATATCATTATAACGACGGTTTTTTTCTATAGAACAATCATTTTAAACGCAACTACATGATTCTGTGAAGATCAAAGTGTTTAAAACATACCCTAGGTGATTTTAAATAGGACAATTACATGAAGGTTGAAAATGTTAAGCTGATCTCTTGAAATAAAATGCACACATACATATTAAAATTTAAAGTAAGCATAATGATTCATTGCAAAACAGGTCCCGGGGTTATTGTTTAAATAAATAAAATGTATAACTATGAATAATATCACTCACATTATATTTTAAATTTAATTTTCATATATTTTATTTTAAAATTATTTCAAAGACAGAAATTGTGTGTGTACCGTATCTTTTGAAATAACAGTGTGTTGCGTACCATTGCAACATAACTTTATGAAAATATGCTATTTAAAACATCACTACATTCACTCGATACATTGGACCCAGTAAATCTTATCAGATTTAACATGTATTTTTCTATGAAATAGTGACAAAAAACGTATGACTTGCTAGAAACCGCTTCTTATGGCAAATGAGTGTGTACCGTTCCCCTCGGCCCAGGCTATGAAAAGAAAACTGTACTCGAATGTTCTCAAAAACCATTCAGAGGTTTTCAGAATTTTGATATACCGTGGAAGCTGATATGATATAATTACGGGAACTCTGAGCCTTATCTGATCAAAATCGGTTGAGTAATAAATAAGTTATGAATGAAAAACCTACCTGAATCGGGAGAAAAATCGGCGTGCTCCGTACCCGAAAAGTCACGTGGATGGCCACATTGGGGGTGGTCCGGGATGATCCGGAAAGTATAGCTTTGCCGACTTCATCATTAGCTCTGCCTTGGAACGACCGGGGTAACATCGGGGGAGCACCGATGATCCGGGGCATGATATACCCGGTAGAGCTACGGTAGAGCCCCGGTGAATGCTGGCAGAGATCCTGTGAAGGCCGGCAGAGTACCGAAGGATGCTGGCAGAGCCCCGGAAGATGACGATGGAGCTACGGTTGATCCTGGTAGAGCCCCGGCAAAGCCCAGTTCATTTCAAAAGAATCACGACAATTTGCGATGATTTCACTTGTTTGTATTTAAACCCTTCCCATTTCCCTTTTATCCAGTCTTGCATAAGACTTTTTCAGAAAATCATCCTGAATTACTGTTCGAGAGTAATAGATATAATATTAAATAAAAATGATGTATCAATGAAATCCTTTTCGCGCGTTTTCAATCAACAGGGACTCTGCCTGAAGCGACCGTGGCTCTGCCTGGGTCAACTGGGGCTCTTCCGGAGTCATCCGGGAACGAACGGCAAAGCACCGTCATGAACCGTAGCTTCTTATAGGCTCTGCCTGGATGGTCCGGAGCGCATCCTCGGTGGCTAGTTTGGCATTACCGTAGTGATGCCGGGGTAAGTTTGACCGCAACAATAATTTCACCCCGGATCGTCCCGGATCATTATATAATTAAGAATGCAGAAGCTTCACCTGTCCCTTCTCTTTCATTACTTTTTTTATATTATTCTCATATTTGTAAATTTTTATAAACATGACTGCATCTTTTTGGTGTTAAATTAGTAATTCATGTTCAGTGTTTATTTTCAGAAACTGTATGTCTGTCTGTCTTTCTTCTGTCCGTCTGTCACTTTATTTGATTGATACGAGAGCGAATAAGGTTTTTTATTCGATGCATTTGCGTTCTTACATGAAACGTGTATTTTAAAATTTTACCAATAACGACACAATGGCATTGTTTACCATATTGGTATTGGTTGGCTTATTTGTAA